AGGCGGCGGCGCCAGCCACAGCTGGGCTCGGCTTGTTTTGAAAAGTCACAGGGTTTCAGCGCTGGCGTTTCGCAACCGTACGGGTGTCACAACAACAACAACAACTGCAGTTTTACTTTGCAAACAGGGCCCGCGGCCGCCCAGCACCCCCGGCTCTTTCCTGCTCACGTCAGGCTAAGCTCACCTGCTGCAACAGCTTCACCCGGGCGAGCGTTATTTCCAAACCCAAGAATGACTTGAAGCAACATCAGAATTGATTATTTAGCCTTCCCCCATTTTTTCCCCCCCACCAAGAGGGGATCGGAGCTGCCCCATCCCCTGCGGGGCTGTGCTTGGTGCTCAGACCACTGCAAAAATCCCACCGGGACGCTGCATGCCCCAGCACGCGAGCCGGGAGACGTGGTTAGAAACCATCTCTTTCTGCCACGCGAGAAACACGCCGGCGGTGGCAGGAAATATTTTCTTTCTGCAGCTTTAATGTTTTCGGATGGCTGCTCCCAGGGCCGGCAGCCCCGGGGGCAGCTTAGCCTCTGGCACAGCCAAAGCTTTCCAGGCTTTGGCAGCAGCCCGGCACGCCACAGCTATTGAATCCCCCCCTCCCCCAGCCAAAACCTTACAATAATAATAAAAGAAATCATAAAACAAGGGCCTTGGGAGCCAGGTGGCCGCCTCCCTGCACTTCCTTGGCCGTCGGGTGATCCGAAAGGGAAGGACACGGCGCCCTTATCAGCACACGCTGCCGCTTGGCAGCGGAGCCGTCCAGAGGTTTGCGGCATAAACATATTTTGCTCGAGCAGGCGGCTGGGGTTGAACTAAGGACAGCTGGCTCGGCAGGAACCGGAGAGCCCCATTTCCCCCAAAAAAATCCCATTTTTGCAGCAAACCCCCATCCGTGCATACAGGGAAAAGGCTGATCCCGGAGCAAGCAACCAGCCGAGCTTTGCAGCAATAAATACAGGACCAATAGCGACCCCACCCCACCCCGATCCGCTCTCCCGGTGTTTACCAGCTCTTTGCAAGCAGATTGACTCTCCCTCATTTTTTCACACACAAAACCGCTGGGAAAGCGGAGCGAACCGGCTCAGGACCCCCTTGGGACCGTGCGGTGGAGCCGTGGCCGCGCTGCCGCCCCCACCCGCCCCCCCCCACCCGCTGGGCCCCCCCCCAGGGTTATCGCTGCTTCCATCACCGTGCTGGGACTTGGTGGCATTTACACAGCTGCTTAGCAGGAAAATCCCTCTCCCGGATCCACATAAACCCTTGCATTTAAAAGTAATTGGGTGCAGGCTTGCTAACGAGGTCAGTAAATGGGGAGAGGGTTTAATTGCAAGCTCCTGGTGACATGTGGGTATCCCTGCAAGCTGGCTCAGAGCCTTCCTCTCCTCCAAACTGGGCTTGGCTCAAGGTTTTTTTTCTGAAACCAGCTGAAAGTTGCTGCTTCTTGCAGGGGTGGGGGGAAAAGGGGAAGAAAAAAAGGAGCACGACCCCGTTCCTGGAGACTTTGAGATTGGGGAGCAGATGGGGGGATTGGAGCTGCGGGGTTTGCCAGGGTCGCCCCATCGCAGGAGCTGCCCTGGGAGCGGGGCAGAGATGGCGGGGGACAGGGAGCAGCAGGGGTGACGGCCCCCCGCTCCTCACCTCCCAGCTGGGGACGGCTGCATCCCCACCGGCACCCGGAGCAGCCCACCGGCAAGGGCGGCGGTGCCGCTGCTGCTCGCATCCTCCCTGGTGCCAAACGCCCCACGCGAGCAAGGTTTTAGCTGCGGGGAGATGGGGTGGTCAGGGCGTGGGATGCCACCGCGCCACGTCCCCCGAGACGTGGCAGGGGATGGGCACCCCACGCCGGACGGGGTTTTCCGCGTGACTTGCGGGGGCAGCGCCCAGGAGCGATGGCAAACACGGCCGGGGTGGGGAGCGGCGCTGGGAGCAAAGTCTCACCGTGCCTCGTCCCTGGCACGGGGCATGGCCGTGTCACCCGCAGATCCCAGCCCGGCCCCGCGTGCCGGTGTGGGAGCCGTGCCGCGGCGCTTGCCAGGCCCGCGCCATCCCCACGACCCACGCGC